GAGTTGTGGGTGGGTGGGTGGAGGGGGGGGGGGGGGGGGGGGGGGGGGGGGGACGGTGGCACTGATTCTTGTCTTTATCCAATGACTGTATTTTGCCTGCTGGGAAGCTACTACTGGCAAATTTCTCGATACCCATACAGGGCCTTTAAATAGATAATAAAAGGCCATTTGCTTTTTGATTACTCTAGAGATGTTGGCAGAGCGATAGAGACATTGGAATGGAAGGTGTTAGAGGTCTGAACAATGACTGTTTTCATAATGTTCACTCATTAGTGAACTTGCTTTGATATTTACTTGAAGTTTAGGGTCAGTAAGATTTATTTTTGTTAAAGAAATGAGTACTTTTATTCAGTAAGGATGCATTACATTGTTCAAAAGTAACAGTAAATACATTTATAATGTTACAAATCTATTTCAAATAAATGCTGGTCTTTTCAACTTTCTATTCAGTAAAAAAAAATCCTGAAAAATCACTAATTTCCATAAAAATATGAAGCATGACACCGAAGACTGGTGTAATGTTGCTGAAAATTCAGATTTGCATCACAGAAATAAAATACATTTTAAAATATATTGAAATAGAAATCAGTTACTTTGAATTGTCAAAATATTTCATAGTATTACTGATTTTATTGTGTTGTTGATTAAACAAATGCAGCCTTGGTGAGCATGAGAGACATTAGAATTAACGTAAACCTGTATGAAAGTAGACAGTCAAGCTCCAAAAAGGGGAACCTACTGTCTACTTTGGCAGCTGCCTTCTAAGGCAACATCCCAACAGAACTGATTTGAAAAGTGTAACGAGTCTGTTAATCGATCAATCGAGTCACACATACCGCACTCCTCATGTAAAGCGTGTAAGACATTCATCTAGTGCTTGTAGTTGATCACAGTAGTCTAGACATTGGCATGTTGTTTAGCTAACAACTGAGTACTCAAATAAACGCAAATCCATAACATACACAAATATTGGGCGAAATTATTTTGTGTTTCATCAGCTATTTATTTTAGCAATATTTTACAGTAATATATCAAATTATATTGATACATATTTATCACTGTTTGAATATATTTTCATAAAATTCAGCTATATAAAAGTGATGCAGGAAACATTTTCTGATCAGTTAAACTGCATGATTTTTCCATGATTTTCACAATAATTTGTGAAAAAAATCATAAGGCTTGTTGACTATAGAAATATTGCAGAAATGTCAATGATCTTTAAGATTTTATTAATGTGACTTTACCAGGACTGGGAAAAAAAAATACAAAAAACTAAATAAATAAAAATAAATTAATTGATAGACAGACAAAAGATAAATAGAATGACAGAATGATAGACCGAATGACAGAGATAGATAGATAGATAGATAGATAGACGGATAGACGGATGGACAGATTGATAGACAGAGAGACAGACAGAGAGAACTGTGGGAAACCCTGAAAGAATCACCTAGGAATAATAACAAATAATAACTTAAAAATAATAACTAACGCCAAATAATCTCCAAAACAGTGTGACTATTTTTAAGATAAACGCAAGACTTTTCTCAGGATCAATGTCCCTCAGGTGCCATCAAGTCTGAAGAAGTTGCTCAACGCAAATCTAAACCATTCATGGGATTTTTATTGTACAATTACAGAGGCAACTGAGGTACTGGCAAAGGAGGAGATGAAATTATACACATTCTCCTATTAATAAGTAAAAATGAGCTGGAGAGAGAAGCACCCAGGGGGGCCTCCACTGGAAAAATACAAGGTGCTGGCAAACGACCAATGATTTCCGTACAACGGAAGAGGGTTCTGGGAAAGCCGCTTCTGTCTGCTTGACTGGCTGCAGGCGCGGAGAGAAAGCAGCATCCAAGGTTGCATAAAATGGACACCAGAGAATAAGACAACTGGAATTATCACTGACATTTTTATGGCTGCAGTCGCAGGGGTTTATGGGTATCATATGCAACATTACATAACAGGCCTCCAGGAGTTTGAGTTTGTTACGAACCGATCGACCGCAATAAAACGTGTAATTAGATGGATGGAGGATGTGTGTAAGGATGTGAGAGATGATACCTGGATCTCTGTCGCTGGTCCAGCACTGCTCGTTTGGCTTGAGTCTCCAGCTGTTGGAGATGTCGGTGGCGGCGTTTTCGACAGGGCGCCACATCTGGGATGTCATTTAAGCTGTCGTCCATCAGGTTGCTTTCTGGCATCTCTGTTAGACAAAACATGGAAAAGTTCAAGTTCATCCGATGTTCATATTTGCAAAGAAAATGTACTTAACATTTAGTCAGTATTTCATTATGCCATATTCATGAATTTTACTTAATTTCTAATCAGAAATGGTATAACTCATTGTAAATGTAAATATTTTTTATGAATTTAGCAGAACATGTAATAAAATATATAATTATAATCTATAAACATAATATTTTAACATTATAATGTGCAGAAATAATGTGCATCAAACAGACCAAACATTAAACAAATGTACTTTTTTTGGAAATAATTTAATTTACATCATCTCAGGCAGATCCATCCTGAACATAATATGACTGAATATTATTTATATATTAATATAAATATAATATTAACTGTATACAAATATTTCATTATCAGTAATATTAAATAATTATATGTATTATTATTTTTATTTCATACATGTATTTAAATAACAACAACAACAGCAATTATTATTTAAATACATACTTTCTATATTTCTATTCTCCTTATTAGTGCATTGTTATTATCTTAATTTTATTAACAGCATGTGCATTAAAAACTTTGGCAAAAAAAAAAACAATAATCATTATCCAAATTATTCTGCCAATAATTTAGATGAGATTAATGCATTTAATTTAAGCAGAAACATTCAGCCAACCTGATCAGTTATTGAGCTACATAGCCATCTGTTGCCAATTTCATGATTTCAGTCAAGATGAGATATTATCTGTGATTGTTATTATTTGTGATTGTGTGATTGTTTGCATATATAATGGCTCTGAACAGGATTAATGGAGGTTCTCACAGCCAGCGTTCAGGCAGCTGGCCAAGATATGACTCCGCTAACACAATCAACATCACAAACGCATTAAAAGCATGTTGAGCATCAACATTAAATGATGTACATGCAGTGGGACTGCCATAAAACCCAGCAGGAGCACATCGGTCTCATGTGATATGTCATTGTAGCACACTGGGAGACTGTTCAAGAATCCAATAGTACTTGTCCTTTAAAGTACTATTGCATTGCCAGAAACATTTCCATGATTGCTTCTGGCAGTTGTTTACAGTTTAATTTACACAGGACAGATATAGCTATGAAACTGGGTGGGTTTGACTCACGTTAGTTGATGCAGCAAACATCCTAACCACATTAAAGACTCTTTCAATTATCCTTCATGTACTGCACCTTCATGGTAAACTTTATAGTTAAGATTAAAAAGACTAAAGCTACAACTCATACTCTTTAAACACAAAAACATAACCATGCACACACTCTGAAACATAAACCACTGAGTCACGCTTTAAGGAAGGAAAGAATAGGACAATGAGGAACTATGCCAAAGTGACACACACCTAGCAACCATACATTACAATTCATACTGTTTACAGGGTCACACGACTGTGGAAGGGGGTTTCTTATAGTGATTTTCACTTTTACTCCACAGGGTTTACACAAGGGGAAAAACAGAGAAATTGAGCAACCCGCAGACTAAATCATGTGTGACTCCACCTCATTTCCCTTTTTGTGCCTCAAAACTCTGACTCAACAGCCTGACGGAGCCCCCAAATATGGCCTTAGAGTAGCCCGATGTCGAAATCGGCCAAAAGCAGACGGTGTTGCCATGGAACAACTCGTCTAGGAGATGACGTCATTAACAATGACGGACGACGCTGGGAAAATCTGAGGGAATGAACTACCTGTAGGCCGTCTCAGTTCTGGCTCAAAGGTTTAATATGCTGGACGATGCAGCGGTTCTCAGCAGGGGAAAAGACATTAGCATGGTCATGCTTTGGACAAGAGAGCAAATACCTACAGTGATGTCAGCGCTCTCATTGACGCAATGCAATTACAAGTCTTCGCTGTTCTGTGCAGTTTATTTGTGGTCCAATGGTAGAAATACTGCAATATAAGTAATGTTATGTAATGCAGCATAGCTATTTAAAAAAAAACAGTTAATTAACCATGCAGCAATGCCTATTATGGATAATTCAGTGAATTAGATACTTTACAAATGAAAAATAAATCATCTGATGGATGCAAACCAGAATCGGAAAAGTCTCAAATTTAAGATGAAGGGGCAAAAAATGCCCCTAAATAAATGCAAGTATCTGCTTAAACTTAAGTATCTGACATAAAGGACAACACAGATATTAAATGAGGTAAAAAATGCCCTTACAAAGCTAAAAAATGCCACTTGAAATCAGTTCTGGGAGCAAATATTGCCCCTTAATAGAAAACGTAATTCCTGATGCTCATGCAAACCGAAGATAAGGTCATTTATAAATGAATAAAACTGATAACAGCTGCTTCACATTGTATAACACAAGATAAACACAAAATACTTTCAATATTATACGAACAACATCATAAAACCCAATATTCAAATCGTAAATTGTTAAATATTTGATACACACAACTCTAAGTGTGCTTTCACACTAGCACTTTTGGTGCGCACCCGGGTTCGATTGACGTCAGAGTTCGGTTCGTTTGGATGATGTGAACGCGGTCTTCTGAACTCGGGTGCGCACCCACGAACCGTACCCGAGTCCGCTTAAAAGGGGTGGTCTGGTTCAAGTGAACTCTGGTACGGTTCGCTGCTGATGTGAACGCAATCGTACCAAATCACGGAAGTGAACGGCTATTAATGACGTACTATTTGATAAAAATTTGTGTTTTTCACTCACTTTCCTGTCGAGCGTGACTGACGCGCTGCAAGCAGAGAGCTGTATATCTCATTTCTGTTCACCTTCAGAGTTCTTTAGGGCATTTGCAGTAAGGCAGACGTAAGTGCCGTTAAGTACTGAAGCTTTGGAAACAAAACCAATTGTTCAAAAGCATAAATATAAAATTGAAGAGAGCAATGCTACGCATTTTGCCGTCTTCTCCTGCGCCTTCGTTACTAAGCAATTGGGTAAATGGCTGCTGGCTTGATGATGTAAACGAACCGCGGTTCGGACCCAAATAATATAATGTGAACACAGTCCAGCGGGGGCAGGGGGAGGGGGGGAGCAATCGAATTCGGGTTCGGACCAAGCAATTGAACCAAGTGTGAAAGCACCCTAAAAGTTGGATTCCATATTAATGCACCAATCAGAGATGTAGACCTAGTGGATTATGGCATGTTTCTTTGTCGATTTCTATCATTGCATGGTACATACTGTCATTCTGTCTGGTCCTACATCAAGATCTTGAGCTTTTACAGTGCTAAGTGCCGTTAAGTACTGAAGCTTTGGAAACAAAACCAATTGTTCAAAAGCATAAATATAAAATTGAAGAGAGCAATGCTACGCATTTTGCCGTCTTCTCCTGCGCCTTCGTTACTAAGCAATTGGGTAAATGGCTGCTGGCTTGATGATGTAAACGAACCGCGGTTCGGACCCAAATAATATAATGTGAACACAGTCCAGCGGGGGCAGGGGGAGGGGGGGAGCAATCGAATTCGGGTTCGGACCAAGCAATCGAACCAAGTGTGAAAGCACCCTAAAAGTTGGATTCCATATTAATGCACCAATCAGAGATGTAGACCTAGTGGATTATGCCATGTTTCTTTGTCGATTTCTATCATTGCATGGTACATACTGTCATTCTGTCTGGTCAGAGTCACTGTAGATCAAATCAGCATCGTGCTGCTTTCAGGGAAGAAATTCCACTAAATTCGCAACACATTGCTAAGCTATATTAAAATATGAGTTTCGTTTGAGGTTCTAGGCACAAATTCAGTTGTGGGCTCATCAAGTTTGACTTCAAAATTTGTAAATATGTAACTATGTCCAATGAGCACAATATTACAGAGCCTTGAGAACAAATCAACTCCGAATATACAGCGAGCTGAAGAATGAGAATTTCCACAAATCCACACAAACTAAATCCCAGACTTTGTTAAAAAGTAGGCTGAGAAAGTTTTAGCAGTAATTTGAATTTAAAAAAAAAAGTTAGAGGTACTTGCATCTGAAATTGTGGCTCTCTGGAAACTTTAAAAGAGTAGGAGAAAAAGGGTGAAGTTAGAAGACTAACCTTGTGTAAGAGGCTGTCTGGGTTCAGCCTCCTGTTCATCTTCTGTACTGCCTCCATAATCACTCTCTCCAGGACTCTTATCTGCCGCAGGCTCCATCACCTTGTGCTCTTCACTGTCTGCCTTTTTCCTTTCAAGAGAATACAGTATGTAAGACATATGTGACCCTGGACCACAAAACCAGTCATAAGGGTCAATTTTTCGAAATTGAGATTTATACATCATCTGAAAGCTTTCCATTGATGTATGGTTTGTTAGGATGGGACAATATTTGGTCGAGATACAACTATTTGAAAATCTGGAATCTGAGGGAGCAAAAAATCTAAATATTGAGAAAATCATCTTTAAATTGTCTAAATTAAGTTCTTAGCAATGCATATTTCTAATCAAAAATTTAGTTTTAATATATTTACAGTAGGAAAGTTACAAAATATCTTCATGGAACATGATCTTTACTTAATATCCTAATGATTTTTGGCATAAAAGAAAAATCAATCATTTTGACCCATACAATGTTTTTTTGGCTATTGCTAACTTAAGACTGGTTTTGTGGTCCAGGGTCACATGTAAGAAAACATATTGCAGACTCATTTCTAGAAATGACTGATTCACATATTCTAAACAAAAGTAAGAGAATGCACAAACATTTGAAAGTTTCTCTTCCATTCAAAAACAGTTTCCCTTCCTTTCATCCTCAGGTTTTTTTTTTTTTTTACTACCATTCAAATATTTTGGGTCAGTTAAGATTATTATTATATATATTTTTAATAAATCAGTATTTTTATTTCACCATGATGCTTTAAATTGTTTGAAAGTGACAGAAAAGACATTTAGAATGTTACAGAAGATCCATTTCTATATATATATATATATAAACTAACGTTTATATGGTGTATAACTAATGATTATACGGATATGGTGTAATGTACTGGTCTGGAGCTGGATCACATCACTCCACCAAGCCAAAGGAATATTTTAGAACAAATCAAAACTGAAATGTCAATGTCTTTACCAGGATAGTTAACTTTTGGCCCATTCTCTCTAGTATTTTCTCTAGAAAATACACACACACACACGAACAAATATATATATATATATATATATATATATATATATATATACAGTGGGTACGGAAAGTATTCAGACACCCTTAAACAAGGAGGAATGGCAGAGGGTCCCCAAATCCAGGTGTGAAAAACTTGTTGCCTCTTTCCCAAAAAGACTCATGGCTGTATTCGATCAAAAGGGTGCTTCTACTAAATACTGAGCAAAGGGTCTGAATACTTAGGACCATGTGATATTTCAGTTTTTCTTTTTTAATAAATCTGCAAAAATGTCAACAATGCTGTGTTTTTCTGTCAATATGGGGTGCTGTGTGTACATTAATGAGGAAAAAAAATTAACTTAAATGATTTTAGCAAATGGCTGCAATATAACAAAGAGTGAAAAATGTAAGGGGGTCTGAATACTTTCCGTACCCACTGTATATATATATATATATATATATATATATATATATAGTTTTGGCCAAACTTCAACACAGAACAAGAACAGGCATATTTTAAAGAAATAAGTATAATGAATGATTTCTTTTTCAGTATTAAGGATTTTAATTTTACATTTAATTTGAAAGTACACAGCAGTTTCGATTTTAACTTTTAAGGGATGACTTTGAGTAATGTAATGTTTTCAGAACAAAAAGTCTTTGAGTAATGCTAACCACTAAGCTTAACTTGCTCATAAATCATAAAGCACTATTCTAAAAAAAACTCATTAGAGGTTCCTGAGGGGACCCGTGTTGAATTAGCCTTCCAGGTTAGCTTACAAATTGATGTCTTTAGTGAACAGCTCTGTTCTGCAAATTATTTTATTTATTCCAAACATCCATTTTTACAGTTCTGTGGGAGTTGGGCAGTATTGATCTGGTGTGGACCTACTCTTTAGTGATGTGTTCCTGTTCTCTTCTCAGCTTCTGGTTCTCCTCAAGCAGATGCTGGTTTTTGGCCTGTAGACGTGTGCTCTGCTCCAGGCCATGACTAATGAGCTCCCTTATGACTTCAGTGGGCTCAGGCACTGCCTGCAGATCCACCACGCCGAGCCTGAACTGACAAATAAAGAGAGAACAAGATTAATAATAGAAGACCTCGTGCAACCTGGCACCTGGAGGAGACACCTGCCCATCAGCTATTAGCATTAGCATCCTGGCTGGAGACACAAGGGAGATTGGCTAAGAATGAACTTCGCCTACAGACGGTGAGATTTATTTGTTGGTTTCTGAGTTTATGGTTTTGGAGCAGGGATGTGGTGTAATGTATTGGAGCTGGATCACATCACTCCACCACTGAGATCCAGACATTCTCACTATTTTTGACCAAATAATTTCCATAACTTTTCCATCAAAAAATTCTGTCAATCTTTACTGACCAAAAATATTTAAATTTGTTTCGATTTAGAGGAATTTGGTAACGAATCATTCAGACTGATGTGTGAAACTGTTTGACTGATTCATTGAAAATACTCAACAGAACAAATTGAATCAGACCTAATATCAAGCCAAAGGAATATTTTAGAACAAATCAAAACTGAAATGTCAATGTCTTTACCAGGATAGTTAAGTTTTTTTTACTTTTGGCCCATTCTGTAGAGAACACACACACACACACACACACACGCGTGTTTGTTTGTGATAATATGCCAAAATAATTACTATTATTTAATAGTATTTATTTGTTAATTACTATTATTTAATTATTTATTTATTTTCTGTAATTTATAACAAAAATACGTATACATTTAAATTAACATATTGTAAAAATAACATATTATATACATATAAATACATTATTTTATATATATATATAAATTATAATTATAAATTCATAAATTATATTTAATTATATAAGTATAATTATATTAAATACATGAATTAATAAGTAAATCATAAAAAGATAAATAAATTAATACATAAAAAAATTATGAAATGAAGAAAATAAAAAAATAATAAAACAAAAGACTTAATGAATAAAATAAATGAATAAAAATTGTATTTTAAAAATAGATAAATAAATAATTATATATACATCATGAAATATTATAAATACAGATCTATAATTAGCCATAATAAGCCTAATTTACATAGACTGGATACACATTTGCAGCACAAAAAGCACAGTGCTGATCCAGCACAGACAGAACCTGGTTAAAGTAAAACGAGGGAAGTTCATGAATACAATGCTTTTTTTATCTGCAAAAAAACTGAAAAACTGTTTAGTGAATTCACACCTCAGGGTTTCACTGCCCAAATCCGTCTAGCACCTGGACAAACACACCAACATTTAGCCTGGACTCTTGTACTGATAAGACAAGCCAACCGCTGTGATGGGAGCCAGCGGGCGACAGCGAGTCTCTGAACCTCAAATAGATGAATTCTTACAGGACACACAAGGGACTGTGTAGTGTGTGCCAGTCTGTGAATGATAAGAACGACTGCACTGAAGATAACAGAACACAATGAAGTTCCTGCCGTCAACTTACCGAGTCTTCTTGACAGCTGTAAGCAAAAGACAGTGAGTGGGAACAAGAAAGTGAATCCTTATGACCTTGTTGTGAATGACTAATGTAGTAATATAGCACTAAAAGAGAAGTTTAGCATGCTCTTTAGGGAACGGAGATGAAGCTGTCAAGCTCAAAAAAGGGGGCTAAAAAGGAAGCATAAAACTATTGTAAAAGTAGCCCATTCCACCTGCACACTATTTTCCAAGTCTCCTGAGGTCAAACAAATGCTGTGTGAAGAACAGTAAAATTACACTTCTATTGTTATTTCCTAACATTCGCTTATGTTGTAGCAACAACTCTCGTTTAATGTTTATCCAGCATTATCCAGCATTGTTACTTAAAGCTACCAATACTGCTTTAAGTCTTTTAGAATATAACATAGAAGTAGTTCAAATGAATAGTTTGGTGTTTTGAATCATTGAATCATGCAGTCATTGAAAAGAATCAACTCAACAAACAAATTCACTCAGAAATCAGACCTGATTTCAATCCCAAGAAACATTTTAGAACCGATAAAACAGACATTTACATGGTATATGTATACATAAAAATGGGGAATAATAAAAAATGTAAAAGAGAAATAATTAAAAAACAAATGATAAATAAATAAGTAAACAATGTTAGACAAATCAATACATAAAAAAATTAAATAAAAGAATGAAAATTAATGGAATAAAAATGACTAATATCATATTGCTTCACACTACAGCAAATAAATTGTGACCCTGGACCACAAAACCAGTCTTAAGTCGCTGGGATATATTGTTAGCAACAGCCAAAAAAACATTGTATGGGTCAAAATTATCGATTTTTCTTTTATGCCAAAAATCATTAGGATATTAAGTAAAGATCATGTTCCATGAAGATATTTTGCAAATTTCCTACCGTAAATATATCAAAACTTCATTAGTTATATGCATTGCTAAGAACTTAATTTGGACAGATTTAAAGGCGATTTTCTCAATATTTAGATTTTTTTGCTCCCTCAGATTCCAGATTTTCAAATAGTTGTATCTCGGCCAAATATTGTCCTATCCTAACAAACCATACATCAATGGAAAGCTTATTTATTCAGCTTTGGTGTATAAATCTCAATTTCGAAAAATTGACTAAATTATGACTGGTTTTGTGGTCCAGGGTCATAATTATCCAAAGTACTTCTTTTTTTTGGAGCTTGCCAGCTGCATCTTCTTTCTGTGTTCCACAGAGGAAAGTCAAATGGATTTGGAAAAGAGATCGATGAGGTGAATAAAGGATGACTGATTTTTAGTCCATATCATACCTCTTCAGTTTTTCATTCCACACAGAACGAAAGAGCCAGCTCTGATGCAACAGTCACATTTACAAATCCTTAAACCAGAGATTCAACATGGAGCCTTTTCCAGCCAGAATGTGACGTACCATTGAGCAACACTCACACTGAGTCCTTTACATGATGAGCTCAGAACTTCCATGTCTCAGAGTGCTTATTTAGACAGGTCTGTGTAGTGAACCTGGACGCAGCCCATTCATCCCACAGTGGGAAGCCAAATTGAGGAGACAGACATAGGTTGAATTGCTATTACAACTCTTATGACGAAGACCAGTGGCTTTATGCTTAAAAAAACAAACAGTTGTTCATGAGTCACACAAAATCATCATTTGAACTGGTCTAACTCTATGATACATGAGAAGACAAGCCAAACATTAGAGCTGAAGTCAAGAGAGATACTTTTTTGGGCCTAAATACAATCACATCTTTTAATAAAGATATTTTGATATATATTACTGATTATTTTTTTAAAGCATTTTTCCATTTCTTCAAAAGAAGCTTATTTACTTAAGCCTTAAAGGTTCATCCAAGTTCACCCAAAACTGAAAATCTGCTTAAATTTTACTCGCCTCAAGCCACCCAAGGTGTAGATGAGTTTGTTTCTTCATCAGAACAGATTTGGAGAAATTTAGCATTACATCAATTGCTCACCAATGGATGCTCTGTTGTGTATGGGTGCCGTCAGAACAGCTGATAAAAACATCACAATAATCCACACTACACTAGTCGCTCAATTAACGTCAGTGCAGATTTCTCTCCTGATTCAGACAAGACAAATTTTTCACAAAAAAAAGCAACTTTATGGATAGAAGACTTGTATTTTAGCTGGAAGAAACGGTTTGATGTTAAATACATCTTAACAATGGATTTGATTGGTGTGAATTACTTGTCGATTATTGTGATGTTTTTATCAGCTGTTTGGACTCTCATTCTGACGGCACCCTTTCACTACTATCTATTCTAATGAAGACACAAACGCATCTCCGTCTTGGATGGCCTGAGGATGAGTACAGCAAAAGACCCATGCAAAATTTAATTATGACAGTTTTTGAAACATTGACTAGTGGACTTTTGGGGGAGAAAAGGCTGAAAAAAGAAGAGGCAAAGCAGAACACAGCCTCTTTAAATGAGGAATACTGATGGATTTGATGACGGACGTGAGGTAAACACACCAAACACAACCATAATCCAGCGGAGTTAAGGAAACGAAACGTTCCCCCAAAAGAGTGACTAAGAATGACCTCTCGACAGAGCCAGCATTGTTTCTGTACATGGCTGGCTGCTCTGGAAAGTATTAGACAGTTTCATCTCTGCAATCAGTCAAGTGGCCGGCAGAACCCAGAGCAGATGCCATCATATCCCTGCGAGGACGCTGGGAACCGATCTCCGTTTGTCCCTGTGGGAACGGTCGTTTTCTAGGTGCCACAAACGCACTAAACCACACACAGAGTGCCGGACCTCCCAACGTTTCCTAGGACTTCTTCAGTGTCTGACCACATAAAAGTCACGTGACTATGAAAACGTGCATCACAGCTAAACTACTATTATGAACAAAAACAGTTTGCAAAATCAGGAAAAAAAAAACTGAAAGAGATTTCTGAAAGACATATAGCAGGAAATTTCATATTGCATATCTATTTAATGCACAATAGCATTATATATATATATATATATATATATATATATATATATATATATATTAATATATCAATATTATACACAGATTTAATTAAATATTTTATGGAATAATTGTGCTTTCTATCTTTTGCAAATGTAATTTTATATATAGGGTAAAGTGGGGGAAAACGCCCCCTACTGTTTTTCCCAAAATAACCACAAGATAAAGTCATTATATACATTTTTATTGTAATTATGGACTATGTTGATGAGAGTTTTCACCATGAAGCTTATTGGTGATGTACCGGAGAGAAAACGGATTTCACAGTAAATTATCTCATTTTCAGCAGTAAGAAAAAAAGTGTTTTAAAGCTTGTTGTTTTGTAGAACATCACAGTTATATATGATATGAGAACAGTATGGCCTGTAGATAGGGAGTACGTGTTATTTAATAAAAATATAATTATATTTTCAGAATGGCATAATTGCTTTTTCAAGCATAGTCTGTGGGGTAAAACGCCCCCAGTGGGCAAAGAGCAATTACTGTAGTTATTCTGTTCTGAATATCAAATCCTTTGTTTTTCCATTAAATATATTCTAACCAGTTGAATAAAAATATT